AAAGAAAATAATAAGATAAGGGAGTTGGGGAATTGTTATAAAAACAAAATAGAGAAAAAAAAATCATGTAATTTGAAAATTTCCAATTTTCCTTCCTTTTAAATTTTTAAATTGGATATTAGACTGAATGAAATCAAAGGAAAACTTCTTATTAACGAATACCTAAATAATCTCGGAATTTTTAATTTTTTCTTATTTCTATAATTATATTCTATGGCCAAACGTTGAATTTAGAAATTAATTAATAATTTTAAATTTTTGAAATTCTGAAATTTTCCAATAATATTATAATCCAGGAGCGTTTGAAATTCATATTATAGATGCACATTAATAGTTTTAGAATAGCTTGAATCTGTTACTTATTAATCTCAACTTCATAATAGAACTTGCCATAGTAATAGAAATTTTATTAATTTTGTCATTAGCGTTTTATGTTATATTGTAATCCGGAGAAATTTTAGAATTAAAAATAATCATATTAAATGTAATATTAATGGTAAATTAAATTCAAAAAATTTTCATTGAAAATGTTGATATTTTTGTTAAAAAATTTTTAAATTTTTAGATGAATTAAAGAATATTCCCTATTTCTCGGAAAGAACGCTAATATATTTGCTAATATTGCCTTAATTTTTGCTCATATATTTCGTACACTTATATAAATTTATTTTCGAGAAAAAGCAGCTTTGATTAAAAGCGTATGTAGAGCACGAAATTTATTTTTACTAATTAATTTTTGGTAATAAAGGCATTCTATTCCGAAAAAAATGGGAAATTCAATATTAATTCTAATTAAATGTTGTATATATAGAAATATTTCTTGTACAACAAATGCATGTTAATTCTTATGTATTTGCTTGAACCAAGAGACTATTTAAAGTACTATTTAAGATTTGATTTAAATCGGTTTCAAAAAAAATATTCCAAAATAATGTCTGTTATTGATTAAGCAATTTAATTTGATAATTTTTTAAAAGTTTTAATCAAAAATTAAATTAAGCACTAGAAAAAAATGTAGTTTAGCTTTATATAAAATTTAAAAAAAAAATCTAAATTAAAAAATTACAATTTTTAATAAGTAATTTTTTTCCTAATGAAAATTTTGAATACGACTCTAATGAAGCTCAAATTTATTCACATGTTATTTGCATGAAAAAAAAAATGTATTACAATTTAAAATTTTAATCAATATTTTAGTCTGAAAAAACTATATATAAAAATGAAGTCATTGAATGGTATTCGACCCAGTTAATACATACATTATAATACGAATAAAGTAATAGCACATTAAAAAATGTCTGGAAAATATTTCTAATGAACGAACATTTTATCATTAATTATACTTACATTTCATAATTATCTATATTTACATTTGCTCTACATATATAATATTATAGAAAATTGTAATAATATTTTTCTATAATTATTCAGGATTAAAAAATATTTTAAACAATTGCTTCATTATTATTATTGTAATTTTTGCATAAATATAAAGTGAAACATAAGCAAAATAAGAAAACAAGAACTGATATTAAAAGGAATAAAGAATGCATACAAATAATAGTTACTTTTATAAAAAAAAAGTTTAATATAAATAGTTAAGATATAGTTAATGGGTTCTTAAAACAATATACATATGTTTTTAATGGTATATAGAATAGGTCTTACAATTGCAAATAATGAAATTTTTCTACAAATAATTTTTTCCAGGATTGGCGTATTTCAAATTATGCTCATCGAGAGCTATAGCAGATGGGAACATTCAAATTTTTTTTTATATTTGAAAGGCTTAAAATTTGGAATTTTCGGATTGATGTGCAAAATAAATTGCCCAGTTATAGGGATATTAAAATTTGCTCTAAAAACTTTTAAGTAAATGTATACAATATTATTAATAATAAGAACAATTTCAATAAAATAGTCATTATGAATAAATTTTAATACTATAGATTACAACAAAATATTATATAAATTCCATTTTATATATAATAATAACCAATAATTAATGTACGTATATATTATATAATATTACACGGGTATGCATGACAAGATAATCACAAATATTATTTAAATTATTATAAAAATCACTCTACATTATAAAATATTATGGTATGTTAAAAATGAGATAAGAATATTATGAAAATAAAAATTTAAAATAAAAGAGGATTCATTATTATTTTTATTAATAATAATAATGATATTAAGAATAATATTCATTAAAATAATAAAGGCGTTCACGCATTGTTATATTTTAATATATAGTGACATTAATATCAATATTATGATAATTTTTAATATTTTTTTTATTTTAATAAAATATTTTTAATAAAAATTTTTATATATGCTAAATATTTTTCAATACAAATTAAAAATCGATAACAGAAAAATAATAATTTAAATAACAAAATACCAAAAATTAATTTGATATTTTTTTTTTTTTGTTATTATATGATAATAAATGCAAAATTGGAGTTGCAGGAAAACAATAACATAGCAATTATATATAAATTAATAAAATAATGAGCTCTCCCTTGTATTTTACCGAAATTAAAATGTAAAATTATGGGTAATCTCTTAATTTAATCAAAATTTTATAATTCTTTTTGAAGTGTTCTTTTTATCTAGGCTCAATTTTTCCGATTAATATTTTGAAATATGGGTACATGAACTATTTTACAATGGGTTCTGAGCCAGAAATATTTATATATTATATTAAATAATTCCAACAAATTTTCATGAAATTTTCTAACATATTGAAAACTGTTTATTTGCTCTTATTATCTTTCACCTCTTGGAATTATTCGAGATATTCTTTATTGATGAAACGTGGTAAATAATACTATAAGGCCGAAAAATCTTCACTTATATTACTGAAAATCAGATTCATTCCGAGATTCGATTAATTGGAAAGTAGATTAATCAGCCCTGTTCATTTACTGCTTTCACGTTGATTAAAATAACGAAAACGTTTAAACATTGTAATATACAATCATTTCTTTTCATATCGTGCTTTCTCTCGTACCATTTATATTTTTCGACAATTTAAATTCTTATACAGTCGTACTTATATACTTTAAAAATATATGAATTTTATTTGTTAAGAACCGACACACATGTTTACATAGTTATTGTTTGCTTTTACTGATTTATTATCAGTGTACGTTATACAGGATAAATTAATAAAAATATCAGACTGAAAATAATTTATTGTATAATAATTTTTTTCCTCTGTAATAACAATAATAATAATATATTATCATCGAAATTTCTGAATATAATATTTTTTTTTATTGTTTTTGGTTGTTTTATAAAAACATATATAAATATTGCAAAAAATCGCCATTAAAAACACTTAAAAAAAAAGAAAACAGAAAAAAAAACTTTTAAAAATTATTTTTAACTTTTCTATACTCCAAATAATCTACTTGCTTGCATATTTCATAAAAAGATAAAGTAAATAATAAAAACATTTTTCAAAAATTCTATGTGATTATTCATGGATCTGAGAGATTAAGTATAAATAAAAACTTACAAGAACAGTAATAAATTTATATTTCCCCCCCCCCCCCCCCCCCCCCCCACCAAAACAAAAAAATTCTTAAATAAAATATTAAGCTGATAGCCAATGGTCCTTTCATAATCATTCCTATAAATTATCACTAAAAAAATAAAAGCAAAATTGGCAATAATAAAAGTTATTCTTTATTCAATAGCATCACTTATATAAGAATGATAAATAATAATAATAAAATTAATAATAATAATGATAGCAATAAGAGAATAAACAGGAAAGGAACATAAAAAATTTTTTTAATGTTTATACAGGCATATAAGAAAATAAGGAATTCCGGGTTTTCCTTCGTTTCCTATTAAAAATTTATTTTCATACTGAAAAATTTTAATATGCCCCAAAATATATGCAAATTTTTTGTAAAAATATTTTCTTGTTAAAAAATTAAAAATTTGTTGTGAAAATTTAAATCTAACCCAAATCATACGGCGTGATTAATTTTGAGTGAATAAAAGGTATGGTGTAAATGCAGAAGTAAGTTAAGTTAAATTTTGAAAACTAAATAAAATTTTGATACTTAAGTAAATGCAAGATAAATTTCTAGTTGATTTTCTATAAAAAATTCCAAAAAAATGTCATCTACTTTTTTCGAAATTCATGAATATCATTAATTTTCGAAAAGTGGAGAAATTCGAGAAGTGGAATTTTTTTACGATAAGCTTAACATTTTAAGCCATACTGATGCTATTATTAAATTCACTTTGTCGATACGAAATGAGTTATAACTATAATTATCCTCTATTTACGAGTAACTGTTTATAGTTCTTAAAGCAAATCGTGTTATATTTAGAGGAGGCTCTCGAAAACACTCAAGAATATTTTGAAGTAATGAAGAGAAAATTGAGTCATAGATTATTTGGTGGTTTAAAATTAGCGTTCACAGAAATAATTTGAAATGTTCATTCACGGTAATAAACATTCATTTCTTTTTACTAACAATTTATGCTGAAATTTTTTTACAAAGAGATGTTTCTTCGTCTATTACTACGAAGAAACATCTAGAGATATGAGGATTTTAATTCATTGCTGAATGAAACACGTAATTGTGCCTAGAGAAATACCAAAATGAAGGAAATGCTCTATGAAATTCATTGATTTTTCATCTCATCTAAAATAACCTTGAAAGTGTATCATAAAAAGTTTTTGCATACATTATTAAAATTTAAGTATGCGTAAGATTTACAACAAGCATCCAATAAAATGGGTAATAATTCAAAAATTTATTTTCCATTTCTTTTTAGATATAGCTCGCTTGAAAAAAATTCCAAAAGAATTCATAATATTATTTATTAGTAAAAATCATGAAACATTTAACAATAAAACCAAAAATAAAAAAAAATATTTATGAATGAATACCAACATAAGTAAACCAATTAATCTTAGTCAATAAATTTTCTAACAAAAGAATTTCTCATTTTTTTCATTTCAGAATTTATCGACGGTATCTAAAAGCATTACTACAACTGGAAATAGTAATTATAATATTAACCAGAACGGGAAATTACCAACATCAACTACAAAAAATAAAACTAATATTCCTGCAACTACAATAACCTGTACAAATAAACCTATCATAACAACTATTAAGAATCCTTTACTTAATTTAGATGAACAAGAATATAATAATAATAATAATGTTAATATAAATTATAAAAATAATAATATAAAGAAAAAATTAAGTTTTATTCCAAGAACTATCAGATTTTCAAGAAAATATTATACAAAAACAACAGTAACAGTACAACATAAGCAACATTTAAAAACTAAAAAACAACAAAAATTAAAACAAAATAAAATAAAATTTTTATCAAATTTCAATGATGATGGCACCGAAAAAATTCAAAATAAAGAAGAGAATTTAAAAAAGAATAAGAATAATAATTGTTACATTAGTAACAAAGGATATTACAATTATTATAATCATCATAACCCACATCATCATCATCAGCATCATAACTATCAATATCAAGAGATAGAAAAGACAACAAATCAAAAAGATTTACCAGATAGTTTAAGGGTTTTAACGAAAGAAGAAGAAAATATTCTTGAAAAATATCATTGCCATAATAAAACAAAAATATTTTATTCAATCTCTTCAGAAATTCCTTTTTCAACAAAAACTTTTAGGGAGAAAATAACAATACCATCATCAGTAACAAATACAAAAAATTCAGAAAAAATAGAAAGAGTAGTAGCTGCAACAGCAACAACAAAATTAACAAAAACAAAATTAAATTATAATAAAAGAGAAAATTTTATTAGTAGACCGAAGTCAAAAATTTATGATTATATGAAGGACTTTTTAAGGAAAAAGTTTAACACTTTAACACCAACCAGCTCAAGGAAAGAAACAACAACAACTGGGTCTTCCTTACATGAGGAAGACATATATGTTGAGGTTAGTTTTTAAATTTAAAGTACATTATCATTATTACATACACAATATTACATAAGATGGAAACAGTTCACTTTTAGTTTTAAAAATGTTGTGTTTTAAAAATATTGTATAAGAAATGACACATACAGATAAAAAGAATATAAGAAAAACGAGACATAAACAAAATTATTTTCTCAAGATAAAGGATAATATTTTTTTGTTGTATTTTTTGGTAGGTTTTTATTACTTTTCAAGAGTTTACACGACGATGTTTTGCTTTTAGTTTTGTGTTTTCTTCTGTAAACTTTTATAAGAGTTTATAAGTGCAAATGAATGAAAGAATTTTTTAAAATATTATGTGTAAAGTCTGTCCCAGTTCTAACCATAAATAAAGTTAGTGAATACTATAAAGTCAGTAAAGCGTGGCTTTTGGAATTTTAATGCACCCCCCAATACCACGACACTTTAATCTGGAAATTTTAATAAAACAAAGTATAATACGTTATGAATTTAAGTCTTAAAATCTCGTACAAAAAGTTGTAAATTTTGAAATAAGCTCAATTAGCTTATATGTTAAAAAATATTTGAATTAAAATCCGAAATTTTAAAACATGTAGGAAAACAAAGTAAAATTTTTTCATAATTTTCAAATTTAAAATACAATTTCTGAATTTTATTCTAAAATTTTCAATATTAATTGCATAAATTATGAAGTAATAATATTTTCAAGTTGTGTTAAACTCGTTTTGTACAGTACCGTTTACTCTTTAATAGCAAACGGGTATGCAAACTCAAATTACTTTATAACAAAAATAAAATACAGCCTGTAGAAATTTAAAATTTTCTTCTAACAAATTTTTAATAAAAAGAAAATATAATATTGATGAAGGTCACTTAGCAGATCATTAAGTGTATTTTTTTTATGAAAGTGAAAATATGGGAAATAAATACTTTTTAGGAAAAGAACTCTTACCGAAAAATTACTGAAGCATTTAATTGAACAAAATAAAAAGGTCAATTCGCCGAAGTTAATCTTCTAATAAAATATTTATTGTTTGTTTAATAATTCGGGATATTAAAAAGGTTTTATCTTTGAATTTTATTTTCATAATTCTTGTAAATATATTTCTAATATTCGAATACATAGCTATATGTATATAAAATAATTGAAAGCATTTTCAATTAAATGGCATGAGTAATAATAATGTAGAATTGTTAAATTTTAATTTAATTAATTTTAGATTGCATAAGTTTAGGCGACCCTTAATACGATATTAAATTTAACTTTTACACTTTCACACAAAACTTTCTAACTTGTAATAGGAAACTTTCATAATAAATAGTTTTTTGACTAAAGTTAAAAAAAATTTTTTTTTTTGGTTTTTAAAAAAGTTTGTATGGTTTTAAATTACATTGAATTACTGTTTTCAGTGTTTTTGGTGGCAAAAATAATGACACTACATTCATTAATTTAATATACGGTCTTCATAGTTAAAGTATACTATGGCAACTTATATAATTTTAATAGAATATTGTGTTAAGTAAATATTTAGAATGAAATTTTTATTAAGATTTTCTTATCTTGTTAAAAAATGAATAACAAAATTATTATGTTAAATGTGTCATGTAGCTCTTATTAATTTAAAAAGCAAGTTGCTCCATTCAAGAATTAAGCGGGTTGTTCCATTCAAGTCTAATGAAAATTTTGTAATTTATACAATTAAATTATTTTAAAAATATTAGAAGAAAATTATGAAATTTAAGTTTATTTTTAAATTCTTCAAAATAAAAATTTTGTTTCGAATTGAATTCTGAATAAATTTATTAAAATTGATCAATCCTTGAATTCATATAAAAGAAGCAAACATTAAAATGTGAGGAAAATATGGAGAAAAATTCTTTACTTGAGTAACAATCGAGCGGCATTTCTGAAAATAGAACACATTATATAGATTATAAAAAATCGGGCAAGAAAGGAATATTCCGATTATTTTGAATTTTAGAAAAGTCAGAAGTACGGTTTAAGCTGACTTTAATAATGTTAAATTTTCATTAGTATAGCAACTGAGTTTCAATTAAAGGTATTGCGTTAAGTTTTGATTGATTTTTATGATTTTAATTCTAATATTTTTTAAAAATTCGTGTATATTTGAAATATACACGAATGACAATAAAATTCCAGTACAATTTTACGTATTCCTTGTCCCTTATTCCTTCTACGTACTCTTCGATGCTCTCGTATATTTTATTACAATAGAAAATTTATTTAACTAATAAAAGTACAAAAATTGCCATAATATTTGAAAATATTAACAAAATTATTTTTTATAACTTTTTTTTCAAAATCAATAAAATGTGTTTTACTTGTTTATATTATTGCTGTTATCATTTTATTCCTTGGTTTTTTTTTTTTACATAATAATATAAAAATTCGCTTTTCATTTTTATTATTATTGAATTATTGCTACGTCAATGAATTTTGATAGCTTGTATATATAGTTTATCTCTCTTGTTTGATATATTTTTAGTTTGTCATTTCTATTTATTCATTATCATCTGTCGCTCGGTTATTACTCTTGTCTAGCTTAACGATTTGTCCAACATAAGAGTAATATGTGCACAATAATATTGTTTGGAAAAACAAAAACAGGAAAATATTTATGCTCGATTTGATTTTCATTCGATTTGAATCAGTTAGTTTAGATCCATTGAATTCTAAAATAGAAAAAAAAATTTTAGGGCGTAAAAAATTGAAAATTTTTTTTTCTGCTATACTTTTTAATTCATTGTATTGCTTGCTGAATAGATAAACAAATTTGTTTAGAAAAACTTTGTGATTTTCATTTCATTTTTTGTATTCTTTGTGGCAAAAATATTTTTATTATGTAAGTTCAGTATGTACGTGTATGTAAATTTGGAGTATTGGATCGGAAAAAGAAAATAATTTGAAAAGTTTTTTTTTTTTTTTTGTAAATAAAATCTTATGTGGTACTTGTATTTTATTTTTATGATCATAAAAATTTATTTATAGGAAATTGATAAGTCAAAACTTTTCTCATTAAAATGAAACAAGTTTATACCAAATTATATATGTATGTGTATACATACATTTTTACATAATATCTAAGTACATACAATACGATTTCATTGAATTAAATTTTGGAAAAAATTTTACAACTTTAATAATATTTTGGGACCCAACCAAATGTAAAATGTAATAAAATATATTTGTTTTGTTTTTGTATAACAGAAACGACATTTTATATTTTGAGAATGAAAATTTTATATAATTCTTAAAAAAAACTGATATGGACACGAACTAATATGCATAAGGAGAAAGTAAAAGTTGAGCAAATAATGATGTATAAATACTGTTGTAATGTAGGCATTTTACACTGCAAATTAATTCATTCCTTAACTTTACTTTGTCTTGACTTTATTAATTAGTATTAGGGCCACTCTTATCGCATCTCTTATCCATCTTAAAATTTGTTGCTAATCACTTATTCGCATCTCTATATATTCTTTAAAATAAAACTGAAAAATATTGCATAATTTTAGGTGTCGACATCTATTTTAATCGTTGATGTAAGATAAAAATTTTATATTTCATATCGATAGTGATTCATTGTGGTGGTAACTAACATAATTTGTGAAAAGAAGCCAGTAAATTAGAATAACGTTGCATAGTTCAATTTTTTGTCTTTGTCCTTTTTTTCTAATTAAACTACTTAAATGAATTTTTTGATTATAAATAAGTTTTTTTAATAAAATTTTCGTTTTTGCCCCAGATTTTGTAGTTTTTGTAATATAAACATTCTGAGAAAGCGCTAAGTCTTTTTTCGCAACTTCGGCCTTGTACTTAACCTATTTGTACGACGCCGATCTCGGAAACTAATTCACGTAAGCTACTGAAACCTAAGTCACAGGGACGTTTGAAATTAGTATTAGTGTTAAAAACACGTTGTTAGTTTTTCAAAATTTTCATTTATATGCAAGTGATTACTTTTTAAAAGAAGGAAAGCAAATTAGCGTAACAAATTGTAGAATATAGGTATTATCAGTAGTTCAGAATTGTAACTTGTTACTAAATTTAATAACGAAAAAAAGTTGGTTGCTAATATAAAATATTTAAGAACTTAGTTTTACGCACAACCATAAGAAAAATATTATTTTTGTGTTAAAACGCATCCTTTTTACGATTCTATTAAATTTAATTTTGTATAAACATTAATTTTTCTGGAATTTCAGCAGGCCATATATATATATATATTACTTTCCGATAGTAGTATTAACAATTTTTGGTGAAATTGATGCTATTTAAGCCAATAATTGAATGAGTTTGCGAGTTTAATTATTTTCTAATTTGCAATTAAATTGAATTGAATTACAACGAATGTGTGTTTAGTGAAATTAATTTACTTGGAATTTTCTGTTACAAAGTTCTGTGATATCTCTGGTAAACTTTCATTTCTCCGCCAATTTTGTTATTTGTGAAATTTAGACATCATTATTTTCTAGGCTGCCTTTTCTCTTTATTGGTACTAAATATTTCTTCTGATTACAAATTTTGAAATTCTTTAAAAATTTGCTGTAATTTTTTTTTTAATTTTTCTAAATTTATTTAATTCAAAAAGAAAACTTGCAATTCATTATAACAAAACTTTGTGACAGTCTATATTTTTATGAAAGAACATGTTGCCATTTCAATAACGTTTTAGTTAATTTATAATATTTTTTTTTTCAAAACTTATGATATATTAAATCTATTCGACAACATAATTTATCTTTATTACTTTACACCGTTTATCAATTTTTCTATATTGTCATTATGCCCCTTAAATTTATCTGCAGCTATTCTTTTCTATTACTTTATTTTCTATTATATTTTTCCTGGTATTATTAAATTTCTAATAAAGAATGTCTCATTTCTTATACAAAGTATAACAAAATATCTGAAATAAACAGAACATATCCATGTAAATACATACACATACATACATTATAAATTTATAATTCAATATTGTATGATTATACAAAATATTTTCTTTTATTTTTCTTTTCATGCATCGTCACTTTCTATACAAAAATCATCGTTCTTTGGAATCAACAACAAAAAAAAATTATAAAAAAATCTCTGTACTTCAATTTTCGAAATTAAAAAAAAAAAAAACAAAAACTTAATCGATCAATATTTTTAACCGACCAACTGTAATAATTCAACACCATCTACAACACATTACCACCATTCAACCAACCAACCAACTTACAAAAATAATATACGATTGTCAATTTAACCCTCATTAATCATATAATATATAAAAACATCATGATTGGGGACTAACCATTAATACGAACTCTGATCCAAAAATATTATTCATCATTTCTCTCCGTTTTATAATATAATAATAAAAATCAAAATATGTGGTTGAAAACAAAAAAAAAAACAAAAAAAAATGTTGTACATTATGCCGCATACTTATACGCACTTATTTTAATATATATATATACTTATAATTATATTTAAATAAAATGAAACATTTATGTGGGGATATTTTGGTCAATTTTAATCATCTATAATAATTTCAATGGAAAAAAAACACAACAAAATATTTGTGTACTTTATACAGTTTCCGAATTGTCTGCTTAAAGTGATAAACAACAATCTGGGCAGCCAAAATCATAAAGAGACTTTAAATCATAATCATCAAAATCATCAAAATCATAATCAACAGCAGCATCAAAATAATCAAAATCAAAATTATCAAACGGATATTAAAAAATTATCAAAATATCCGCAACAACAACAGCAACAACAAGTACAATCACCACACAAACAGAACCAGCATCAACAGCAACAACATCAACATTATAATAAACATCAACCAAGTGGGAGTCTTGATAATAATATAAAACGATTTGACGTTATGCAAGACGTCCGAATTAGACTTGAACAACTTCATAAACAGCAACAACAACAACAACAACATCAACATCAACAAAATCAAACACAATTATTACAGCAACAGCAACAAAATCTTAATCAAAATAATCAAAATTTTCATTTTCAACAAAATTTTCAATTTCAACAGCAACAGCAACAACAAAATCATTTACACAATAATCATAATAATCATAATAATCAAAATAATCAAAATCAAAATAATCATAATAATACGCCAACTCATCATCATCACCATAACCAAAATCATGGCTCCCCAAATATCAGTAATAATATAACACCACGCCATAGACCGATACATTTATTTTCAACAACAGCAAATTTAAAGTAAGTATGCATGTATGCATGTATATGTGTACTGTTATACATAAATAATAACTGATTTGGCTGAAAATAAAATATGAAAATAAATTTCAAAATTAAAGAACCAACTAAAAATACAAGAATTTCAAATTATCCTTGTTCTTATTCTTAAAAAAAAATATGTACTTTAATGGCCCCTTTCATATACATTAAAATCAAGTCCTTTTTTTCAATATTTTGTTTGCGTATGTACAGTAAAGTTTCATTAAATTGTACCTCGAATTTTTAAATTTATTTTAAACAAAATTCATTTAAAATCGCAATCCAATAAAGTTTAATTGAATTTTATTTCAGTTCATTGCAATCCAATGGCTTTTGGTTCGTTCTATCTTCAAAATGCTTTAATACTGGAAAGCGGCTTATTTTACATAATACAGTACAAGTATATAATTGAGCAGATATTTAATTTTTATTTTAATAGCCCTTAATTCAATTATAAACTAATTCTAAAGCAATTTTCTATAAGTCTCCTACCAAAAGAGAAAATCTGGTAATTAAAGTGTATAACTTTTTATTAAAAGAGAATTTCTAAATTCAGTTTGTAGGCTTGTTGAACTAATATAAAAAGATCACATAAGTCCAAATAATTTTTAGTAGATTTTACAACTCAACTCTTAGTAATTATTGTAGAAATATTTTTTCAGTTTGCTAATACAAAACAGCTAGTAGAGTAACATTTTACAGTGTTTAGAGACCGTTGAAAGAGAAACTTACACATTTCAATAATATTTCATTTTTTAAAGATTTCACTGTATTTATTGCATAATTCTGGTAATCAAATCTATGCTCAATCCACTCAATCTTTCTAGTATTTAATGGAAAATTTCTTTTGTTGTATATTTCATGTTCACTCTTTATATTTCTTCTTCCCTTTCTTTTCTTTGTCATCTTAATATCCTTCCAATTTCTCGTTGGTAATTTTCATTTATTTTTTTATATTAAGTTTTTTATCCTTAATTTTTATTTTAGTTTTATTTTTTTCTTTACTTTTTATATTTTTGTTAAGAATCGGCCCCTTTCAGTCAAGCCCATTATTTTAACATTTCATTCTTGTGTAATTTCTTTTGTTATTATTATTGTTCTTTTTACTATATATTTTTTTTCTATTTTCTTCTTTTTTGGATTTTAATTAAAATTGATTGAAGGGTTGCTTTACTATAAATGATGTTGGTCTTATGCTTCTATACTCGAAAAACAAACAAAAAGAAAAGCAGAAAAAAAAAACAAAAACTGAAACCATTTCTTTAAGAAAACCTGCTCCACCATCTTGATCCTTTTTTTTTGCGATATTCTTGTATTTTTTTATTTTTGCTATTTTCCTTAATTTTTTAGAAAATTTTTCCTTCTGATTATTTTGGTGAAGGCATTTAAAATGAAAACTTGAGTAATGTTCTTCTTGTTTTTTTTCTCGTTTTTTTTTATAATAGTACTAATGGAAATGAGCCACCACCCCATTCACCAAGTTCGGAAGAGGATAATTCACCAACGGAAATGAATAATTGCAGGCGATTAGTTGATAAACCACCACTGGTAAGAAAATTTTTTTCTTTTTCATTTAAATTTTTATATTTTTGTTTCTTGTTTTTCTCATTATTTTTATCCTTACTTTATTTTACACTCAAATATAAGTGGATAAGAAAAAATTATACTTTTGTATTTTTAACAATATGAAAATTGAATTGAACAGAAGAGAAAAGGAAGGTAAAATATTTTTTTCAATAAGTTAAAGGATTCTTTTGTTTTATTGTCCTTCTATATTTATTATTTTTTGAAAAATATGTTTAAGATGGTCTTTTGAATTTAGTTATTATATGAGGAACAAAATGAAAATAATAAATTATTTAAATTATTCTTTGAAGTTATTAATTTTAAATAATACGAGTTTTGTTAGAGATCGCATAATGAATTTCTAATGATTTCACTGGAAAGCTCCGCATTAGAAGATGTTTAAAAGTTTTTTCATAGAAACGGTGACAATATCCCTTATATTGTGTTGCCAATTGCCAGATAAATTTTAAATAAAAAAACAAAACACATAGAATAATCCAATTTATCTTCTAGTTCAGGAAAAATTTTCCACTTTAGAAGAGTTCTCTGATAGTATATTCCATTAATGGGGACAAAAATTACCGAATTTAAAAATAAAATTTACAATAAATTGGTCCTACATGCAGAAGTCAAACAAAAGTTTCAATAATATGAGATTTTTATTAGAAAAATTACAGGAGTAGGAAAATAAGTTTATCAGTAAAGATTTCGATGTTGTTACTATTTAATTGTAAAATAAAATTTGTATAGAATAAGGGCTCTAGCGAGAACAAGAGAAAAACCTTCGAAATTGTTTAACTTAGAACTCGAACAGATTTCAAGGATAAATTTTTTTTTGAACTCTTCTTATTTTTAATATTCATAACATACAAATTCATTCATCCTTTATTCTAGTATCATATATAATATTATTAATTACTACACATTTAGGGACTCCTTTTCTAAATTTTAATTAAGTATACAAAATAATTAAGAATGATTCTAAAAATTTCAAAATTATTTTTACCTATTTTTCTAAGAATTTTCACATTTATTTTCTTAATTATATTTTGAAATTGAAAATCCCCTTGTTTTATGAATTTTTCTTCAAAAAAAAAATATTCTCTTGTCTCAAGGACTTTTAAGACCATGAATTTATTTTTAATTATGAAAAGAAGGCAAATAACGTTTACATTTTTCTTTTTTTTTTGACCTTCATTTTATTTTATTTTTTTGCTGCCTTTCCATTTTTTTCTTCTAAGAAGAACGTTAAAATGTCAAAATTTGTTTTCAGTTCTTGCATAACCATTTAGAAAATATGTTTTATTAATATTGCGGTTGACATTTTTATAACTTTTAAATTATTAAATTTTTCTCAGTCATAACCAATGTTGTAACCCTTTTAAAAATTTTTTTTTTTGTGTGTTTGATGTTGATGTTGGGTGGTTTAGAAACATTATTTCATGTTATAAATTAAATTTTGTATTTGGTATATTGTTTTTGTACAAAATTCCTTATTGTAATATACATGTGATATTATGACTTGTGTGTGTTTGTACTAGAATATTTATTTTACGTCATATACTGAAATTTTGCTTTAATAACATTTATAAATGCAATATTTTTATTCTTATGAAGTCCTGGACAGTAAAATAATTGTATTGTAAGCAATTACTGCATAAATTATATATTGCAGTTCAAACTGAAGAATTCAACTGGTAAATGCGATGATAATTGAAAAATATTTTCAATTTTTAAAATGCAAGGCAATATATTAGAATACAATAGCACAATACTCGTATATGGAAATTCATGAGTAATATTCATGAGCTACTTTTGTAATGTTAGACTATAAATTGAAAAATTGAAGAATGTAAATTATTCCTGACCATTGCTGCAGTGGTTGTGGCAGCGGTCCTTTAACCGAAGAGTCTCGGGTTCAATTGTCTTTTAATTCTATAGTAATTTTCATATATTCATAATATTCGATATTAAAAACTAAGAAAAATAAACAATAATTATTAATAACCTTGAATATTTAGTATAAAGAAAACTCTATGACAGGCTAGTCATCTACCTAATTAAAACTCTATGACGCAATGAATCTAGGGCATGATTACCTATATAATATCATGCAATAGTCCTATGCCCCTCCTAGGAGTGCAGAATGAAAAAAAACTATATCAGTTCATTACTATCATTACTCTTTGCAATATTCCAAAATGTACTGTAATTTTCTATAGATAAAAAAAATTATCAAGTGTAAATTAAGAATCATAAGTTCTATCTTACTTCATATGCGTGCAACTTAACTTTAAAACTCCATTTAGTACCACAATTATGATTCATATACATTGGACATACGTACAATATTTTTAATATTTGTACACCTTTAATATTATTAATGAAATTTCATTCATTTTCATTGAAATAAAAAGTATTTAATGAGGCAAAATATGCAAAATTTCAATTATATTCAAAGAACAACTCATATTGGGATGAAAACACAACTTCACAATTTAACATTTATTGAACAATTTAAATTTAATATAAATATTTTCCAAGTAAATAATTATATATTCATACACATTAATAAAAATGCAAGGATTTGGAACATGAAATTTAGTTTTAATAAAAATATCTACAAATATATTTATTGCTTCATTTCACCACATTCCGAATTAAATTTCCTAAAATAATAATATTTTCAATGAAAATGAACAAACAAAAATTAAAATTTATTATACTTCTATTTTATATAAATTTCAAATTTATTTAATTGTTCTAATTTTAAATGTATAACATTAAGTAGTAGCTACCCAATTTAATATTATTCATCATCTAATTTTAAATTCAAGGAAAATTTCAATTGCCTATGAAGAACTTTTTCATCAACATGTTTTGTATATAAATTACGTTTTCATAATTCTGTATGTATGTGTAGACATAGTTGGTACAAAATTTTACATAAAAAATAAAGAAAAATATTTAATGCTTTCTAATTATTCTAAACAAGGCGGTTTTTATAATAGACTTATAAAATTTAAAAAAAAAAGAAATTTGAACATAGCTAGTTGATTATGTTTTAACTTTCTTGTATATCCTTAAAAGGATGTGCTTATAAAAGTCTTATGGAAAAAAATAGGCAAATTTACATTTAACACGAAAAAAAATAGTGGCAATACAAAGAAGTAATGTTTCTTAGAAAATGATTTTTAAAGTTTTCTGTTTAAATCTTTAAATGAAATTGTATTTAAGAGAATCCTTTTATTATAGAAGAAGCAGGAAGCATCCTTATTTATCATAATATTTTAAGTCTATTTTGGAATACGCAGGTGTTTTTTAGGGAGAATTCGAACAACTTGAAGTCGTTGAAGCTTTTCAATGTTCGCCATCACAGTACAGATTATGGTAGTAATGATCCGATGACTAGGACCCGATGACGTGATTTAATCCAAAATATTTTTTTTATGTTTCTCATACTAATGAAGTCTAACACTTGCTAACTCCCTACCATTTCGTTTTCTTTTCCATCATTTGCATGATAATTTATACTTGGCCTAAGCAATTCGTCTAAATTAAAAAGAAAATGCAGAATAACAATAAACTAAATAAATTTATAAACTAATAACAATAAACTAAATAATGTTAGAAAATTTTCATTACTAAGCCTGCTAACTTATACTAGCAGTTTTAAGCATTAAGCAATTAAGTATCTCACAAATTTCCCGATGTAAATCCACTAACCATTCTCAACACATTATGAATGAAAAAACTAATTTTGGATGCCATAAAAATTTTCGATGTTAAAGTATAATTTAAGCAAAATGCTATTTAAATTCTTACAATGCCTGCCGAACACAATACACGCGTACATTCATTTATTCTTAGAATAATAAAGGTTTATACCATAGTTAAATAATATTAACATACATTTATATGAACACACTATATACAATTATAATGAAAAGAATAAAGAAAACAAAAATTTCATTTAAAAGGATAAAAGAAACTAGTTTTATTATTATAAAATAAAATAAAATGTAAATGTAGAGGAAAAAGTAAACAAATAAAATTAAAAGAGAAAAAAAAGGCAAGCAATAACGGTTAAACTATATAGAAAATCTAGGCATTGACTGGAAACTATAATAAGAGTACCTACGTATTTTACTATTGCAGATGAACAAGCTCACAAACGTACAGCTATATAAATTCATATATATAAATACCTTTGCGCATATAATAATAGAATTTATGATAAATAAAAGAGAATAAACTTGAAGAGCACGACCTCCCTTAAACTTTATGATTAAATCGCTCTCAATTTTTATGATTTTCTACATTTTCATTTATATAGGGATTGCGATAGCGATGGCGATGTAGAAGGAACAAAAAGTGAAAGAACGTGAAATATGAAACTAGAATTAAATTCTGCGAGAAAAAAAAATAAAGTAAACTGAAAAACAAAAACTCTTAAAAGCTTAATATTGCAAAAAGTCATTAATTTTCTATGATATTCAAGTGTTCTGCACTTGACAATATAATAGTGGTGACGTTAGTAAACAAAAGGATATTTTCTATACAAGTTATTTATGTATGGATGTATATGGATATGTAATTTATGTCCAGTTTGTCCGCAACAAGCAATTTGCGCGTTCAAGCGTTACATTTAAACAATAAAGGTATACATATACTGGTGTATACTAGCTTATACAGTTTTGTTGGTAATATAAGAAAAATCTACTTGGATTTTATTTATATTTTCCATTATTTTGTGCAAGATAATAAATGTTTAGGATACTTAGGTAAATTAAATTAAATTTTTTATGTAGATATTTACGAAATACGTATATTATAGTATTTATATTTTACTCAGTAAAAACTTCCATTGAAGAGTTTTCTATTCTCTGCATAAAGTGGGCATTTACTTTAAATTGAATTGATTAAATTTTTAATCTTAATTTATATAAATTTTAATGTAGAGTCTAAAACTTTGATATTGA